GAAGAGAGTGTATGTGGACAAACCCTTTATTCTCATGATTGAGGAAGCCTGGGAGGCCAGGGTTCTGAGTGGAGGGAGGCCTCCACATTTGTGAGTTGGAGATGAGTCCCAGTCACATTCTTCTAATTAAAAACCATGCCCACACTATCCTCCCATGATAGCGCCATCTGAATGATCCCTCTTACAGGCACATGGCTAGTTACTATCTGGCCTAGAGTTTTAGCTGTAGAACCAGACATGTTGCTATTGCTCTCCCCACTCAGGGTACAGTCGCTCCCCTTACCAGCCCCCAGCACTGGTGTAGTTCAGGGGCTCTAGGGTTAAGATACTGCTCATCTTGTTACATAGGTAGTGTCTATGATTGAAGGGGCTTGCATACCCCAGACTACATAAGTTAGTGAAGGAATCTCTCTCTCTCTCTCACTCAGACCTGGTTCCTGATGCCACGGAGGAGGTGAGCACCCCAAAAACTTTTGCCTGTCTCTTAGTTTATTCCCTTAAATTACACAACCATCCTGTAGGACCTATCTGGATGTGGGTTGGCTCCCACACCAGCCACTTCAGAAGAATCAGCTACTGAAAGCCTTATGAATAACAGCAGAACATTGTCAGATTATAGTGCCAGAAGATAAGCCCCTCAGGTTGGAAGGAACCCAATACGACTGAGGAAGAGCTGCCTTCTCAAAGTAGAGACGATCTTAATGACCTGGATGGACTAAACTTTTGGAGCCTTCATTTGCTGATGGGGTGTGACTCAAAATGAGAAGAAACAGCTGAAAACATCTATTAATAATAGTAACTTGGAATGTAGTAAGTATGAATCTAGGAAAATTGTAAGTCATAATATTGAAAGGGATTGCATTTAGATAGATAATCTTAGGCATTAGGTGATATGCACTGGTATCGAGTCAGATAATAGTATGGCTTACTATACCGGGAAAGACAAATTCAAGAGGAATGGCATTGCATTCATCATCAAAAAGGACATTTCAAGATCTGTCTTGAAGTACAATGCTATCTGTGATTTATATTTATCTGCACACACAAAATCCAGTCGATACAACTATAATTCAAAGTGATATACAACCACTAAAGCTAGTGATGAAGAATTTGACCAACATCTACAGTCTGAAATAGATCAAACACGCAATTAAAATGCATTGATAATTATTGGTGATTGGAATGCAAAGGTTAGAAACAAAAAGGAAGGAATAATAGTTGGAAAACATGGACTTTGTAATAGAAAGGAAGCTGGAGATCTCATGCTACAATTTGCAAGACCAACAACTTCTTCATAGCAAATATCTTTACCTGTAGACTTCTGCATATGGAATACACAGAAATAAAATTGACTACATCTGTGGGAAGAGATTATAGAGATGCCCAATATCAGCCCCTATCAGCAGCTGAAATAAGACCAGAGATGGATTGTGGAACAAACCATCAATTGCTCTTATAAAAGTTCAGGTTGAAACTGAGAAAAATGAACACAAGTCCATGAGAGCCAAACTATAACTTGAGTCTATCTCACCTGAATTCTGAGACCATCTCAAAAACAGATTTAAGGCATTGGACACTAGGGACAGAAGACCTGCTGAGCTGTGGGATGATATCAAGGACATTATACATGAAGAAAATAAAAGATCATTAGAAAGCCAGGAAAGAAATAAAGACCAAGGTGGATGTCAGAAGAGATGCCGAAGCTTGCTTGGAATTGTAGCTAAGAAAAATAGAAGAAATGACAAGCGTGCAACAGAAAATTTCAAAGGAAAGCTCGAGAAGACGACAAAGTATTATAATGAAATGTGCAAAGAACTAGAGTTAGAAAACCAAGAAGGAAGAACACACTCAGTACATCTTAAGCTGAAAGAACTGAAGGAAAAATTCAAATCTTGATTTGGATTATCGAAAGATTCTATGGGCAAAATATTGAAGGTATCAGGAAAAATAAAAAGAAGATAGAAAGAATGCATAGTCACCATTCCTAAAACAACTAGTTGACATTCCACCATTTCAGGAGGAAACGTATGATCAAGAACCAATGGAATTGAAGGAAGAAGTGTAAGCTACACTCAAGGCATTAGCTGAAAACAAGGCTCCAGGAATTGACAGAATAATAACTTAAAATTTTCAACAAGCAAATGAGTCACTAGAAGCACTCACTTGTTTATGCCAAGAAATTTTGAAGACAGCCAGCTCTCTGGTCAACTGATTAGAGGAGGTTCATATTTGTGTCCATTCTAAAGAAAGGTGACCCAACAGAATGAGCAAGTTATAGAACAATATCAGTAATATCACATGCTAGTAAGATATTTCTGTTGATCATTCAACAATGGTTGCAGAAGTACATTGGCAGGGAGCTTGCCAGAATTTCAGGCTGGTTTCAGAAGAGGATGTACAGCAAGGGATATCATTGCTTATGTCAGATGGACCTTGGCTGAAAGCAAAGAATACAAGAAAGATGTTTACGTGTGTTTTATTGACTATGCAAAGGCATGCAACTGTGTGTGTCATAACAAATTATAGATAACCTTGAGAGGAACGGGGATTCCAGAACCCTTCATGGTGCTCATGTGAAAAATGAACATGAATAAAGAGGCAACTGTGTGAACAGAACAAGGGAATACTGAACAATATTCCTAAAATCAGGAAAGGTGTGCAGCAGGCTTATATCCTTTCACCATATTTATACAACCTGTGTGCTGAGTAAATAACCAGAGAAGCTGAATTCAATGAAGAACACTGCATCAGGATTGAAGGAAGAGTTCTTAACAACCTGTGATATACAGGTGACACAACTTTGCTTGCTGAAAGTGAGGAAGACTTGAAGCACTTAAGGATGAAGATCAAGTATTGTAGCCTTCAGTATGGATCACAACTTAATGTTAAGAAAACAAAAATCTTCACAAATGGACCAATAGGTAACATCACGATAAACAGAAAAGATTGACGTTGGCAGGATTTGGTCTTGAATCCAAATCTTGCTTGGATCTGCAATCAATACTCATGGAAGCACCAGTCAAGAGATCAAATGAAGCATCGCATTGGGTAAATCTGCTGTACAAAACCCCTTTAAAGTTGGAAAAGCCAGGATGTTACTTTGAGGAATAAGGTGTGCATGACTGTGGTAGTTACATAATCTGTTGTCAATTTGAGACTTAAGAGTGAAGGGGTGTTTAGCCTGCCAATCAGGTTGCAGCTTGATGACTTCATTTGGAGGTGCTAAGGAGATGAATAGCTCACTGGAGGTGGGACACACTCTCACTCCCTGCAAGACATTCCTGTGGACTAGACACATGGAGCTACACTAGAGCCCTGGCGCATAAGGAGCCACGTGGAGACTCTTGCCAGTGCTGAGATGCTTCCACTGTCATTGGATCCACAAGACTTTCCACCCATTAGCCTGTGATCTTTCTGCATTCGTATCATTGCATGTGTTGCGTGAGTCTGAAGAGGAATTTATAGATTGGTATCAGACATCTGGGCTAATATCGGACTTATGGACTAGATTTAGACTGGACTGGGAAGTTTTCTCAATATTCAATTGGTCTTGAATATAACGTTCTCTCTTACATACATATGAGTGTCTATGAAATTGTTTTTCTAGTCAACCCTGACTAACACACTGACTTAAGCTTTTTTGTTCCCTCTTGTGATAGCTTTTATTTTTTAACAGTTTTATTGGCATATAATGTACATATTAGGCAATTCAATAGTCCAATCACATCAAGAAGAGTTTCTGAATAATTCACTTGTACAAATGAATAATCCAGGTATTGTGATATGTAGTTAGCCTACACTTATTCAATTTCCCTTCCTCAATAGTGTTTCAAAAATTAGTATCATGGGATAATCAATGACACTAAAAACAGAAGGTCCTTTATACTCCAGGGAAATGATTGATAAGATTCTCTACCATAACTTAACAAGGTGAGACAGTGGCAGATTAAAAAAAACACACCTAGATTCAGGAATGTATTTTGGGCTCCCACTTAATCCTAGTTCCATTATAAGAACAATTAGTTCTCGCTGCATGACCCCTCTCGATAATTGCCCTCACAAAGGAAACACAGAAGATTTAGGTGCTATAGCAAAGTATGGTGAAGAAATTAGATGGTGCCCAGCTATAAAAAAAAATAGCATCTGGAGTCTTAACTGGTTTTCAAACAAGCAGTCATCTAAGTGAGATATCAACTAAGCCCACATGGAAGAAGCACACCAACATCTGTGATTCAAGGATTGAATTATATAATCCAAACCTGATGGAGGGAATAGTATCAGAGCTTAAATTATGAGATTCTGGTGTACAAAAGGCTATGGATGCTAGTGGAAGCCCCCAAATACACATATATTTCCAGGATTTACAAAGGAAATAGGCCTCTGGTGAGTTCCCTCTAACCATAATTGAGGGATGGGAATAATCTGGTTATCAGACAGAGTGTTGGAGAGATAACTGTAGTAGATTAAACTGGTAAAAGTGGCCTGAACGGTTAAAACCTTGTCACTTGATCTCTCTTCTGATATGCTTTAGGCTTGATCTGTTTTTTCATACTCTCTCTCTGTGTTTTTTCATATTGGGTTTATAGATAACGCCTCAGATGTTACCCCTGAGTACATAGAGCCTACCATGGGTCTGGTGCAGACCAGGTGCTCTTCATTTCATTAAAGCACAATGGTCAGCACAGTGTTAGGAAGAAGTAGGCTTTAAAATACAGTTATTTAGGGAAAACTTTTCTTTTGTCATTTGAATTCTCAGCCTATAAAATTAGAGATTTTCCAATTTAGCTATTTAACTCAATTCAAGAATGAATCTCTATAGCACAAAACCCACAGAGGTAAGTCAAATTAGCTTCAGATGTCAGAATATTCCAAGTCTCCACTCCCCAACCCTGCCCTCCACCCCCGTCCGACTCTATTTGAGGACCGGGACAAGTAGCTGCTTTTCTCTGGTTGGAACATCCACATTCGTCCTAATCCTCACCTGGGAAATGGGTACTCACCAGCAAGCTGTGACACAGAGCATGGAAATGCTTCTGATTTGTCTCCAGCTCATCCCAGTCCAACTGCCAACAGCTTGTGGGTCTGAGAATGAATGGGAGTCCATACATCAGTGACTCACAGACTCCACTAAATTTTAGAGCCCTGAGAAGACAATGACAATGAAAGACTCTTTAGTAATATTCAGAACCTGCACTTAAATTCAGCTTAAGTCTAAGACCCTGGTGTGAAAGTCTTTTGGTTAAAACACAAAACAAAACCAGTTGTCATTGAGTAGATTTTGTCGCATGGGAACCCAACGTGTTTCAAAGTAGAGTGAACTCCATAGTTTTCAAGACTGGGACACTTCAGAAGCAGAATGCTATGCCTTGATTCTAAAGGGTCTCTGGAGGTGGGGGTGCAGTTCAAACCCTTAACCTTTTGGTTAGTAGCCTAGTGCTTAATCATTTGCACAGCACAGGGACTCTGTATTTAAGTTGAGTCTTATGAATTATTTATCTTTGTATGGCCAGCACTTAGTGTGGTATTGGCACCAGGAGATTTGCAAAATTTGCTAATCAATGAATGCAGTAGCCACCGGGAGTCTATTTCTTCTCCTGAATCCATTCCTTCTGAGTGGCTTCTTTGGACATGCTCCCATGATCCTCTGCTATCTTACACAATAGTAGGCTAACTCTCTGCATTCCAGACCTGATTCTTTTATGGCAAGGTGCTGGCAAAGGATACATGTAAGACACTTCTTTGTCAGCATCCCTCATCACGAACCCCTGGACAAACTAACTCAGGTACCTGTTCATTGAACATCGTGGACAGAATTAGGAAACAGAACACAGACCTTTGCCCTTGTCACTAATTGTAACCTATGAATCATTCCCTGGAAGCCGAAATTTTAATACTTAAAGGAATGGGAGTGGGGTAGGATCAATTCTATGTATTGAATTGCTTGCTTCTCCAAGGTTAGATTTCTGTCCTGCCACCTAAACATAGTAAGCATTCAATAAGAATCATTACATGCAACATTTTCCATTATCTGTACATTTGTTTTTTATTGATCTTGTTTATATCTATGTTCAGAGACTTTTCAGATTTCCAATCCTCATCCAGACCCCGGAATATTCTACCAGGGCACACCTTCCACCAGCTGCTCTTTCAGGCCCGTTCATGGAAATGCTGCTTCGAAGTGACCTCTTTTGACTGACACTCGAGATGCCCTCCCTCTCTGCACTACCTCGCCGTGGAGCCAGGAAGAATAAGCATGTGCATGGATAGGAGGTTCTTTGGGGCCCATACTTGACTACTTGGAGCTTGTAATGAGAGTCTGACGACTGGGAAGGCATCTGGTAGATGGTACTCAAGTCCCCTTTGGGGTCATCCATTCTCAAGGAGCCGTCAGCTGTGCCAGGGAGCAGGGACGGGCTGAGAAGTCGTTCTTGGAGATCACATTTCAGACACACTACAAGAAAAATGACATTGGGGGAGGAATTATGGGCTAGAGTTTACCTCAGGCTATGTGATTAAGAGCTAACATCTGCTATCCCTCTTCCTCTACCAGGCAACTAAGGGATGGGAGGAGGCAGGGGGTGGAAAGAAGAAAGCAGATGGGTCTGTGAATCTACACCATTTCTATGACGTCAGAGAACAGTTCATTTGTCTTCTGGCTCTGACATGATTTTTATGTATTTGCTTTAGGGCTGGCTGAGCAGTTGCCTCAGAGTGAGAGTTGTGGCTACTGATCTAGTCTGAGAGGAACACTGTCCTCTGTGGGGAGGCCGCTAACAGGATAATGTGCAGAGACCCTTTGGCAATCAGAGGAGAAGCTAGTCTCTGCTTCTTCCTTATGGTCGGCTAAGGGAAGAGCCGGAAAGCAGAAGTCAGGCGGGCAGTCAGCTGACAGATAGTTTCTCCGAGGTCTCTTGTAGGGACTATTTGGGGGGAGGGGAGGAATAAGTTCCTGAGTCAGTTTATTTTTTAATTCCCCAAAGAAACCTTAGTATAAGACTTTTTTCCCCCAAACCTTGGGCCTTCCCTAAGGTGGATAACTATCCCCAGGAGGACTTAGACGAGGCAAGACATCCTCATCTCCTGTTGTCCTCTTTGGCATTAATGCTTTTCTTCTAGTAGATACATTCCCACCAGGCCTGAATTCTTGGTATTACAAAGTTGCTATCTTGTGTTTTAAATATACCCCCAATTTGAATACTGGTAACAGACTTGCAACTTAAAAGAGAGTTCAGAACTTATGAGAAGGCTACTGGTCGGTGCTAGTGATGTATCAAAATGACTGTACTAATAGCAATTTGATGTAAAAACAAAAGTAGAAGTAAAGGAGGAAGGAAAAATGGCAGAGGAGGTGTCAGATCCAGTCAGCTTCCAAGGGTCCAGGAAATTCTGGGAGGGGCAGCTCTTGGCCTGGTGCTCCATAAAGCCCGGGAAGTGAGCAGGAAGGGCTTTGCCCAGGGCTGCTGCTGCTGCTAGTCATTTTCTCTGAGTCTGACTCTCCACTCCTGGACCCCGGGCCTTCAGGACGGGGCAGCTGTGTTTCTCTGGCTGAGGCCCGCAACCTCGGTTGCAGGAATCACCAGGGGAACTTGAAAAAAAAAAAGAGACTGAGCCCTAGTCCAGACCCATGAAATCAGAAGCTCTGGGGATGGAGTCCCAAACCCCAACCCCAACCAGTACCGTAAAGTCGATTCGGACTCACAGTGACACTATAGGATGGAGTAGAACTGCCACATCTGGTGGGTTTGAACCACTGACCTTTTAGTTAGCAGTGGAGTACTCTAACCATTGTGTCACTAGGGATCCTAGGATGGGGTCCATATTAAAAAAACCTCACTGCTATAAGTCAATGTCGACTCATAACAACCCTATAGGACAGGGTAGAACTGCCCCTTGAGTTTCCAAGACTGTTACTCTTTTTTTAAATTAAATTTTTCTTTTTTTTATTAATTGGGATTTAAGACATATATCATAAGGGATAAAGACCAATGTACATCTATCTATATGTTAAGTATAAAGATAGCAGAAGGACTTTGGACCTCAACTCAAGGTCTCCCTTAACACAAGAACACTTTGTTCTAATAACCTGGCATTCTTTGATATTCACCTTCCTGAACATGATCACTGAAGACAAAATGAATGCATAAGCAAATGTGGTGAAGAGAGCGGATGGTGCCCAGCTATCAAAAGATATAACATCTGGGGGTTTTACAGGCTTGAAGTTAAAATAAGCAGCCATCTAGCAGGGAAGCAAATAAGGTGACCAGCTTTTAACATTGGTAAAGCGGGACAAAAGCAGCATACTATTGATAAAACTCATATCCTGGCAAAGTAGCCACATGGCAGCCGAAAACCATATACCCTAGCTTGTCATGCATTCTTTCCAAAAATCGGGACTTTTTAAAAACGCTGCGGGACGCGGGGGAAAAATTGTTAAAAATCAGGACTGTCCCGCCAAAAGTGGGATGTCTGGTCACTTTAAAATAAGTCCACATGGAAGAAGCAACAAGCCTGTGTGATCATGAGGTGTCAATGGGATCAGGTGTCAGGTATCAAAAGATCCAAAATAAACAACTATGGTATATCAGTGTGAATGAGGGGGTTAGTGGAGACCCAAAGCCTATCTGTAGACAATTGGATATTTCCCCCCACCCACACCTACACAGAAGGGTTATAAGGAAGGGAGGATTCAACCAAGGTGCAGAATAGCACCAAAGAAACACACATCATTCCTCTAGTTCTTGAATGCTTATCCGCTCACCTCCCACCCCACTACCATGACCCAGTTCTACCTTACGAATCTGGCTAGACTGGAGAACACACATTGGCACAGATAAGAGCTCTCAACACATGAAATTCAGGACAGATAAACCCCACAGGAATAGTAGTGGGAGTAGAGATTTAATGAGTGTAGGTTAGGTGGTCCTCGAGGAAGGGGGAGAAAGGGGGAACCCATCACTAGGCTGGATATAAGAAACCCGCCCCCCTCCAAAGGGAACCAATAAACAGACATGTGGGAGAAGGGATACAATGAACAGTGTAAGATATGAAATAATAACAATATATAATTGATCAAGGATTCACGAGGGGGGAGGGAGGGGAAAAAGAGGAGCTTATACCAAGGGCTCATGTAGAAAATGTTTTGGAAATGATGATGGCAACATATGTATGAATATGCTCAAAACAATTTATGGATATATGGGATGTTATAAGAGGTGTAAGAGCCTCAATAAAATGATTAAAAATAAAGACATATGATTCCATAGTTGAGGCATGTCACGTAGAACCGTACACTTGCTACCACCATCAGTTTCCAGACAGTCTTTTTCTACATGCACTCCTTGACATCATCTCACTTTCACCCCACGCCACCACTGTACTCCCCCCCCACCTCCCCCCAGCCCCTTATTCTACTTGCTGTCCCTGTAAGTTCATCAGTCCTGGGTCTCATGTACTGAAAAAACGGGAGAGCACATAACACAGCCTGAAGAAGGTGACCTCCAAAGACATAACACTTCTGAGATATCCCCTACTATAAACGAACACAAACCAAACTACAAACCAAAAACACAGAAAATGTATGAAACTTGATCAGGTCCATCCTGCATCACAGTGGGGATCTACTGACAAGGTTTTAACTATTCAAGTTAGATGTAAGCCGGAGATTTTCTAAACCTATTACTCTTTATGGGCGTAGAAAGCTCCATCTTCTTCCTGAGGAGGTTGGTGGTTTTGAACTGCTGATCTTGCAATTAGCAGCCAATGAATAACCCAGGGCTCTTTTGGGATCCATATACTGATAGTTTACAAAGCTCCTCATGTGATTTTCAACTTTTTATTGGTAACTGGTATTTTATTGGTTGTTTTGAGGATCAGTACAGAGAAATTACGGACAATTTGTACATAATAATAAGTATTATTTTGCTCGGGGTCACACCAGCTGTATTTCTGATGTTTGGGGTTTTCACGTGATTCCTACTGCATCGAGCCTGAGTATTCCAAACCTGGGGAAGCTGTGTTATCAGGGCTGGAGTTTGGAACCAGGTATGCTTCCTACTACCCAGAGACAGCAGGCTCCCAGCCAAAGAAAGGAGAAGACACTTGTCTGAGCTGACTGATGGTACATCCTTACTGTCGGTGGGACATCTATGAAGGAAACCACTAGAAATGGGGTCAGGGCTGAAGGTAGCTAAAGAAGCAGGTGGTCTGAAGTGGAGAATCTTGTAAGGAGGAATCAAAGTGATGTGCTTCAAAAGACTCTGCACTAGGAGGATTTGTGGTGTGTGTGTATTTTGCTTTGCTTCATGTGGTATATAAAGAGGCTTTTCCCCAGCTTGTCTCCCCCAAATATATGCCAAACCTAAGTGGTTGCTTGCCAGCACATGGTGGGAGGGCAGATGTTTGGAGATATTCTCCCTAAAGCAGTGGTTCTCAGCCTTCCTAATGCCACAACCCTTTAATACAGTTCTTCATGTTGTGGTGACCCCAAACCATAAAATTATTTTCGTTGCTACTTCCTAACTGTAATTTTGCTACTGTGATGAATCGCCATATCTGATAGGCAGGTTGTATTTTCATTGTTACAAATTGAACATAATTAAAGCATAGTGATTAATCACAAAAACAATATGTAGTTATATATTGTGAAATATTGATTTCTAATTACAAATAAATGAAATTTTCTCTTGAAGCATGGTGTAGCATGGGTAACAGTCTTCATACCAGGTTCTCGTATGTAGGCATATCTGCATGTATGCAGACCCACCTGGAGACGGATAGAGGAGTGGCATTTGGGTTCCTAAGACCATCGGAAATATGTGTGAAAGGGTTGTTCATCACCAAAGGGGTCTTGACCCACAGGTTAAGAACCGCTGCCCTAAAGGCATCAGTCATTGGAGCAATCAGACACTGTCTGGTCCATCGTAGGTGGGGCTCACACCCTACTGATAACAGTGGATTGCTTTCCCTGGAGAGCTCAGAATAAGATAAGTCAAACTAGCTCAGTGACAACCAAGGTTAGGCTGCCATCCTGAATCTAGAATCCGCCTATCTTGTCACATGTATATAGTACCCCTAATCCTAATCCTCTTCCTATTGCATGTATACCCCTAGGTCGTCCCCCTCCCATTGCTGTATTGCCTATGGTACTACCCCTTCCTGTGATGTATGATGTATGTAATCAGGGGGCTCGCACCCCCCCCCAGTATATATAAGACTTAGAAAGAAATCTCTCTCTCCTCCCGTCCTCCTTCCCTCTCCCTCCTTCCCTGCTCCTTCTACCTCTCTCCTGCCCTCTCCTCCTCCAGCACCTCCATCAAGAGGCCTGAGGTGAGCATGCTACCAAGAAATGTGTCTGACTCCTTTATTTTACTCTCTCCTATCTCTCTTATTCTTTATGACTTTACTATAATCTTTATATATCAT